TGGATTCCACTGATATCATCAATCCATTTATTATGTTATTTGGTATAACAACTGATCTTACCACAATATTCATATAGTTATCCATTTATATTAGTTTATATAAAATTGTAATTTAAACGCTTTATAGATCAAAGGTTTATTGTTCCACAATTTACAAGCGAAAGTATAAAAGTTCCATAATATCTTACCTAGCAGATATACTCTGTGACGAACAAGTTGTTAGAGTTAACCTAATCAATAACTTGCATTCTTAACAAGTCTTGAATTTGGGAGGTTGTACAGTTTTTCAGATTTTTTTAACCTTTCTTCCTTTATTTTGTCTTTGTTTTTGTTTATTTCGTAAAAGAAACCTGTTGAAATACCTTGTGCTGAGAATTCTATATTGTACCAAAACATAATATTGAGTAAAGCCATTGATAATAATAAACACATGATCAATAATTGTAGTAGAAATTATCTGTATCTCAGTTTCAACCACAACTCCGCAGACGCATCCACTCTGTCTTGTTTTACACCAATAGCTTCAGTACTCATAGATACATACTTTTTCTTCTTGATTCTTGAACCGTGTTCTCAGTGCTTAGTCTTTTTCATTATCACTGCTACTAAACTATTATTTTATGATGTTTAAGCAGAATGTTAGAATCGTGATTGACAAAGAAACTAAAAATACATATATAATCCAGAACACCTATACACAACTATAATACATTTTGAAAACATAGTTCTTTAGATTATAGCTCCATTTGGCGGCCTGCTTGAGTATTTAAGTTACCTGTTCCATCTGGATATTTCAAGAAGTTATCTGTTTTTTTCTGTTTGCTTTAACACATCATAATGTCTTTATTCGCATAACCTATTCAGTTGCGTTTATAAAACTTATACGACATTTCGCTGTACAAGTTATAAAAAAGCCGAATCACAGAAATCGTGGTTGCTGGCAGTATGCATCAAAAAGAAATTACATCATTCAGATGTCGATTCGTGAACTGCTCACATGTAAATGACGATCACTCAGTATTTATCGTCAGGATAGATGAAAAAATAAGGAAAGGAAACTTGTTAGAATATTTTGTGCTGAGGTTTCTATACTGTACCAAAAATATAATATTGAATAAAGCTAAGAATAATAAAAAATAATAATAAAGAACTGAAATTATTAACTTATCTGAAACAATTTCATCTATTAGAATTTAGTTAGGCGGAGAATGTCACTAAATAACCAGTTGTATGTTTATGGTTCTTAATTGTTAAACTTGTTTTATGTGATGTCATTTAAAAATGTAAGTTATACTACATAATTTTATTTATATCAGTACAATGAATTTGGTAAGAATTAGCATTTAATTATTCAAATTATATAAATTGAAAAGTTTTCTAATTGAATGCTTGATTTGGTTGCTAAGCTCTTCCACTAACCCCCAGGCTAAATCTACACAGCGACTTGAACACGAAAGAAAAGGCGCGAAATATGAAAGAAACGCTTTACTCCAAAGGTTCGTTTATGTACAGAAAATTTACAAATTTTATAATGTTTTGGATTGCCTTGGGTTTCCAGAAATTTCTGGAACACTGCTAAACATAATGGAACTATAGGTAATCATCCAATCAGAAACCCGACATGTGACTTTTCACTTTTTAGATATTTCTGGCAAAACCCCTACTGAATACTGATTAGATAAGATGCTTTTCAGCGTTTTCAGAGGCTCTTTGACTTTTTTTCAATGAGTTTTCTAGATCCCCCTAACATATTTTTTGTTGTTGTTAATTATTTAGACATTTTAAAAATGTATGTTTTAAATTTCCTTCGTTTAAACTCTTTAGTTCATAAGTACCAAGTTTAACTCTCATAGAATATTTGAAACATATACATTCAGCTTTTTCCCCACTTAACTCAAAGGTTCACTTCTGTTCTTAATGATTCGGATTTTCAATGCATTTCAAAGTTTTGAAAAATTAATTCATTGTATGTAAAAACAATAAAGATTTTGAGCAAAGATGGATTGTGCCTAGCAGTCGAATCCAGGACGCACTTTTCGTCCTCTTTGGGACTCGTCAGCTCCATATACCTGCATCACAGATTTGATGTTCACTATGGGACTCGGACCCAGTACCGTTCGCTTAAAACGCCATCGCATTATCCACTTAGCTACTGAATCGTGATAGCCAAATAGGACGAAACGCGAGGCCTGGATTCCACTGCTAGCCACTAACCATCTTTGCTTATAATGCTTGTGAATTAAGGCAATATCGAAGCAATACGCACAGTATACACATATACCAACAAGAGACTGATCGATTACAGTCCTAAACATCAATGGGCAAATTCAAATAAACAATACCAAGTGAATTTAATAAAGATTTTGTTTAGTATTTAATTAATAAGTTTACCTTCCATATGTTTAGTTCAGAATAATCAATTACATATTAAAGAAAAATAAAAATAATTCGGCCAAGAAACTCAGTTTTCGACAAAATCATTCTTTAATGCTGTATAATTGTATTTATAGTTAATTTTTAAAAAAAACGGTAATTTCTAACAACAAAGGTATGTTATGTCGTTCAGATGAGTAATCAGCAATAAACAGACCTTCTGTACGTGGAAGACAATAGTTTGCATTCAAATCGAGGTTTTCAGTATTATAATCGAATACAGACCCCGTCACTATTATCCGTTTTTCTGCAAAACTCAAAACTAAATTTATAGTGGATGTTAGGAAGAAACCAAAGAAGTAATTTTTTCAGATATCTCAAAGTACAAATATGGAAGATAGTGTTTTCAACATAGTGATATGAAAAAACAGACTGTTTCCGCGAGAAAAATTTGTAAAAAGAAGAGTTAGTACCTTACTTACGCCTGTTACTCCTAGTGGAGCGTAGGCCGCTGACCAGCATTCTCCAACCCACTCTGTCCTGGCCCTTCCTAGCAAAATCATTTTTTCAGTCTCATCAACATTAGGCATTTAATCAATAAACCCATATTTTTAAACGTTGATGTATCTATTGAGCTGATTTTTGATTAAATGTAGAATTTCAGCTAGCCATTAAGCAGTAGAATGTTGTGTTCAGTTATATCGAAGGTCACTGCGTTATCAAAATATTAACTGATTTTTTTATTGAGATCACGAACCGATTGATGTAAGACCACCATTGAAAACCTGGAAGCACTGGACGGCCGTTTCGTCCCATTGTGGGCCTCCTCAGCAGTGCGCATTCACGATCTCGCCCGCGGGGTTCGAACCCAGAGCCTTCAGCCTTGCGCGCGAACGCCGATTTGTTTAAAATTTCATAAGAACGATGAAATAAAATATTTTACCAAATTATATAAAATAAACAAGTTATTAAGTTTTACTTCTAAAACAGTTAAGCTTTGATGTTGAACAAGTCTTCCCTCAAACACCCATAGTGAAATTATCCAAAACCACTCAATGTTAATTAAAATACTAATCATTTACAAAAAACATTATGACCAAATTTCATTCATAAACTTTGTAATAAACTGCTACTCGGTTGATGCATAAACCAAATAACATTTATTACAGTTCATCTTCAGATTGATCAATTTGGCTTCGTAAAAAATTATATGAACATTGCAGATAAAGTTGCGCATTTTTAATGACTTTATTATTGAAAACTACTGGTCTATATGTAGTGTACCATCCTTACGTAAAAGTTGAAAATCACTTGTTGGATACTCCTCTATGATATAAAGGTAGTTTACGTTATGTAAACAAAACAACATTACTTATAATGACTTTTAAGTATAAACGAGGTAGCACAAAAAACAAGGGATTAAATGAATTTCAGTAGAGTAACATTTGTATGCTTTCCTCAATAAGAAATAAGTTATTTCTAAAAAAACAGTATTATTTGTACATTCAAACACTTGAATGTAAGAATAGCTATTATGATACATCTTCTAAGTGTACTTAAACAAATACCTTACTACTAATGGTTATTAACATATTTCGATCCAGATGTAAAATGATTATAATCATTACATATAATCCAGTAACTACTGAAAACTAGAAAGTGTGAAACTTCATGTACTAAATAATTAATATCATATGGGTTTTGTGGATATTATAGTAATTTCAATGGTTGAGATCATGAGTCAGTTGAAGCTAGACCACCATGAAAAACCTGGAAGCACTGAACGACAAAAACAATAAAATGGAACGGCCATCCAGTGCTTCCAGGTTTTCCATGGTGGTTTAGCTTCAACTTATGAGTGATCTTAACCACTGAAAACACTAAATAATTACTTAGAAGTTTCATTAATATTATCGATTGTTGAGGAAAGTAAATGTTAATTTAATTTGAACAACAACAAAGAGTTCAATAGTTCGAATATTTAAATTCTGAACATTTCAAAACACTCCTCTTCATTCAGAACGGTTAAAAATAAAACACTAAATAATTAAAAATATTTATTCAATTATAAATGATCTTTCAAAATTACAAAATATGAATTGGCTAATACATTGAAATTGTACTCATACATTATATCACTCATAAATCAAAATGTATTTCTTTATAACAATAAAATAGAATCAAAAATTATTATTCAAAAAAAGAAAACAAACAATTTCTTGTTATCCCAGATAGTATGTATATAAAAATAAAACAAAGTCAACATAGAAACAGTAAAAACCATAATCACAAATAAAGATATGTTGGTTGAATATTCATCAAGGGAGAGAGAGAGAGAGAAAGGGAGAAGTTCCACAACTCTCACAATCACCATCATCATCATCACCGTCATTTTGATTATTACGGTAACGAAGTTAGAAATATGAAGTTACACGAATATGAAGTTTAAAAAAATACAAAGTAGAAAACTATTACAATACGAAATGTCACCACTACCATCACCATCACTAACAGTTAAAAATAATTAACACTTGAAATCTATACCTCATTAACAAGAAAATAGAAATGTTAACATTTCACAATAACTAGAAATACACTTCTCAACTTTCCTAACAACAAACGACTTGAGAACAATACGCACAGATAACTTACAAGTATCACACAATTTACACAAAACAATGTTGACAACAAAAGTAAATTATCACATGGGAAATATGAAGTTAGAATATCTGTCTAAATTGTGGATCACTGATAAGGTAACTAGTTATATTGACCACCTGGTTTTCTGGAGTACCGTAATGTGGTGGTACACCCAAATCAGCGTAACCAAGTGTTTTCAGTATATCACTTTCTCGGTGTATTGATGAGATGAAAGATTCGGGCAACACTGAATCGCTTGAAGCCCATGAAGTTAGTGAAGCCAAGTGTATTGGATGAACAACCTGTGAAGTACTCGGTTCGAGTCTGTGTGTATGTATAACAAGAAAAGTGGTTAATTGAGAAGGTGTGAATTTCATCATGTCGGACGAATTTAACTGACAAACTAATGGACAACAGTGTCTCCATCAAAAACTCTGTAGATCACGTTTTTCAGAGATTTAAAATTTCCACTCTTATGATGTTGCAACTAGCAGTGATGTACCTGTAAATGAGATGTATGGGTTTAGTGCATTTGTCGGGTAATTAGAAATTCTCGACAGGAAACTCTCGATCTAGATTCCGTACTAGTCGACACCAGTACTCAAATTTAGCTGTTATCATGAGGAGATCGATGCTTCCTATAAATTTCAAATGATCGCCATCAAGTAACACCATCTTAGACATTGTCACTGAGTAATTTTAGTAGCTATTGAAATAATGTGAGATCGAGATATTCACGATTAACTGACCACTATGTTGTGAATAATGTGGTGTTTTTGAATTTCTTTAAAAGCTGATTGGAGCCTCGGTGGTCAGTTTATTAGGTTGTGACAATTGATAATCACATGTAAATGAATTCATTATCCTCGTGACTTACTTGCTTAGAGAGCTTTGACCCATAGCCGTTTGATGGTGAAGAACGATTGGATCCCATGGTAATTCGAGAAATTCTACAGAAACAAACATATACAAATCAGAGAATAAGACAGTTATAATTGAAATGTAGTTTAAGGTTATCATAAACTGAATGTGTTCTGTTCATTTTGGATGTGTTCAATGTACCTGGAAGTATTGATATTGTGAATAAATTTACTGATGTTAATGAGAGTGCAAAATATTTTATCTCACATTGTACGAAACTATTTTCAGTTATCGATTTTTCAACACAAGTTAGTTGGTATTTCACACCGTTTATGTTGTTCATTTGTATTTATCATTCAAAGTTATACCCGGGGAACGTAGACATGTGAAGTTGTAAACAGCTGATGAAAATCTATGAAATGAAGTGAATCTATATTATTTCACTTCAGTTGACAATATGTGAGTTGGATATTTTCATGTTATTACTCTGGGACAACACACCACTGTAAATATAATTCAATAACAAATTAGAAATGAAAGTTGATTGTTTTCGATAGATTTAAAGAGTAATAATCGAAGATAGAATTCATGACTGCAGTCAACTTAATACTTTATGTCAATGCCAGTATCAGTTGGTGGGACAGTTCTCAATGTGCTTTGATCACATGAGAGCTTCGTTTCTCAAATGCATACGTAATTGCCGAAAATGGAACAACAAATAATTCATGGATTTACTCGAGAGAACGTATTCGTCAAAGAAAATACCTCTTTCGACAATTCTTTATATTCAAGTTGAACAATCACATCCACAGGTGATTTTTACATGCATAGTATCATTGATAAAATTGAGAGGTGTCGCATTACTTGACAAATCACCAAAATTTATCAGATGTTCGCATGTTTTGGTTGGAAATTAGTATAGAATTCTTAAAGATAATGTGAAATCATAATTTATGGGAGAAACGTAGACGTTAACTGTCTACGTGTGTATATGAAGAATAGTTCAATGACATAAGACAACTGATTAAATCAAGAAGAAAACTGAGAAGTTAGAAGAAATGTGATAACAGCTAGTTGTCGAATATGGGAGAAAGGAAGATATGTTGAGTTCATAGAACAATGGAAAATCAAACGTCTTTCATCTGTACATAATACTTGATACGAAACCGACAAATTTCTAAAACCTCTGTGTTGCATAGATTCTCAAATCGACTCATCCTTAAACCAATTCATTTGAGCACATGGATGACTGTGAAGGATGATATTGGTAGAGCAACTTGGTCAGAATTTACAAGAACCTCTGGAGCTCATCTGTCGACCGTCTCACTAGTTTGATAGACGATTAGGATAACACTAGGAGATGTGTTCAGAAAAAGTCCTGTTTATGCTACCAGTGTAGCCTCCTCCACAAGAGAGAGTAAATTGTAGATGCATGTTGGTTTCGTCAAATGTCATGCTTGTCCTTACCACATTTACGAATCCAAGGTCGGTTAGTTTACACGAAGTTAATAAATGGTGACACATTCCTCTATTTTACCGAACATTACCATGTGTAAGAAATCACCTCTAAGTACAGATGTACGATTTACGGAAATCGCAACACTGAGCATATTTTTATTGCTAAATATTCCTTATATTTCGTAAATGAACTGAACCCAGTGACAATCACATTCTAACTTGCTACGTCATTATGGATTTTAAATCATTCTCTGCATTTCGAAATAGATTTATTGGATGAAAAAATATGATTAGTTATGTCCACATATATATGCGGATTGGTCCCTAATTAAAAGATGTCTGAGTTCTGCACTGCATAAAGTAAAACTGATTTTAACAATTGAATTTCTAATATATGTTATTAATTTGGCCTTGTTATAGGTTGTATGATGGAATAGAAATATGACATTCTTTAGTTAAATATTTCCATTTATCAATAAGTTTAAAGAAGTCGATGAAACCGGAAGGCGAAGAACAGACAACTCATATGAAACGGCAGGTTGACTTCGCGCATTCTTATCATTTGCATATGAACTAAACACAGTTGTATTAATCATCAGAAATCAATGTACGTACTTTGTCAGAAATGTTCTGAATAATAAGGTTTATTGAAAAGGACGACAACTATGGAAGAACTGTAAGAGATGAGGACGTTACATGATGTGAATATTTATAGGTTGAATGTAAGAATATTCTATAACGAACAACGAAGAACACATAAACAGAATTATTAAAGTATGAGATATATGTGTTATATTTATTCAACCCTTAAAACAAAATCGATTAACTGAGTACAGATCAGATAAGAAGTGAGGTAATAATTATTGTCAAGAGAAGAATCCAATAACAAACATATATGAATAAGGTCATCATAACAAAGCAAGTTTGGCGACTGAATATTTTGTGTGCAAAGATTTGGTCTGTATCTTTATATGGCAATCACTTCATCAGAACGTAGTAAATTTGAAACTATTTGTTTATTAATTATCTTCAAGATCATTACTTAGCAACTAAATATCACTTACAAATTATCTATACTTTTTGCTCTTTAGAAATTTTGCTCAATGACGAGCATTTTTACGATGTCACGATATGAAGTATGTAAGCAGATTTCCAATGAATAATACTATCATGCTTAGGCTGTAAGCAGCTGATGAGAAACTATGAAATTCAATGACTTACTGTTATTTTGCTAAGTTAATTGATCAAACTTTAGTGCTATTTATCAGTGGTAAAATTTGCATGTAATTCAACTAAGTAGAATCAGTATATCTGAAAACGCTTTTTCACAATAATCACGGTGGGCCACAGATTCAACGATATATCAAGGCCTAAAAATCTACTCGATGTAAATGAGGACAGTCGATGAGCAAGTGAAATATTGTTCGACTGACGTTGCTCTATTAAATGTTATGCATCCCAAAGTTGTGAAGTTGTTGATTTCTCCCTTTCTTCTCGTTAGCAAAGCATCTCAAATGATAATGGTCTACTTCCGTGGATGGTACTTGAAATAGCTTTGGCCATAAGTTAAGCATTACTGTCTTTTAAAAACATTCTAGCGAAAAGTGAAAATGATAATTATCTTGATGATTTGTATACGACGATATATATATGTGTATCTCTTACCAAACAGTTCACCCAGAACTTCTCTCGGTTTGAGTACCAATGATTCATATTTGATTGTTGTGCATCGTTTGGGCCCGATAACTGCACATGATTTTAAAATCTGATTTACTCGGTTTTCCCATGCAAAAATTTTTCATCTATAGGTTCAGGTGCTCCTTTGATGGTAACATGTCGTCTGAAATTTCAAGAGAAAGTAAAAGAAATCAATCTATTAAATTATTTGTTAAAAATGAATAACACTTGTTATGATATGATTAATCGGAAACTCATTCCTCTGTTAAATTACTCTAAGTAGTTTTACACAGAACTTTTATATTCTACCAAAATATGCAAATAAACATTAATCTGAAGTGAATGAATTCTTTCACACTGCCTCCATTGTTTCCTTGTATTCTAAATAATCGAAGCATCCATTGAAATGATAAATATTTCCAGTGGAAATATATTATTTTTTGTCTTGAATGTAAACAAATGGAAAATATGCTTTATTATAGTTAATAATGATGATAAAAGAATGTTTACCTGATGAAAACTACTTCACCATCTACATTTTATTCACAGATTATAACAGACAAACGGGAGTAATTAAATAACGAATCTATGAGAACGTAACTTTCGTTGATAAATTATTTCATTATAATATGTGTTAAACTGAAAATCAATATCTGTCTTATTGACACGATAAGCTTGTGTTACTATAACCATCAATAAATGAACGATGTTATTTTGTTTACTCTTCCCGGATCACAGAGGACTTCATTGAATTAATCTACCACGTTACATTTATTCCTAGTAAGTGAACACTCCGGAGCATTTTATTTGGCATAAAATATATATTGTCAAGTAACAGAAAACTTAACCTAATTTACTCATTCCTAAGGTAGTTAAGAGTAGTCGACAGGAAACTCTAAACTTAGGTATTGTGTTCTTTGTCCCTAGTTTGTAGGATGTGCCTGTAATCTTAATGGAACTGGTAATTCCTGATGGACTAGGCAAATATTAAATGGGTCACTGCTTAGTTATCAATCACCTACAAATAAATTAATCCCTCAAGAGATTTGTTGCAGCCCCGACGATTCACTAGTTACGTCTCAGACTATGAAATCGAGTAGCATGGGATCGTAAACCACCAGGTAGCATCAGTCTTTTGAAGATTACATGCACATCTTACTGATGAGTTCTAAAAATATTTTTCCGATGGCTATGTTCAACCAACTAATATCTCGTTATGGCGTACGCAATATTAACTCATTTAGACTGGTAACCATACTACAATTTAATCGATAGAATTCGGTCAACACCAAAGGACTAGACAAATATGAAATAGTTCATTATCCACTGGTCAATAGATTGTAAATATGCTCAGCTAGATGCTAAAATAAAGTAATCTTGATCAGAGTACCATGAACTTGAAGTTGTCGACCACAGTGTCGAGTAATGTAATTACCAGAATTAGGGCTGATTGTAACTATGCCATAAGAGTAAACTTTAGCAAAAACAAAACCCAAGTTTGACTTTTCTTAATCTGTACTATTGGATGATTATTAGAAAACAGTTGATAATTTCTGATGATAAGAATTTTACATATACCAACATATTTACAAAGTCGGTTGACATATTCAAGTTTATCACTGAAAACTTTAATATAACCATAGGAAAATTAGCTTGTCAAATATCACATTTTTTATTTTATTGAAAAATCCCACAGTAAATGCTAAATTTCACAACATTTCTCCTTCAGATAATTACAATAACCCATTGTGTCACTGAATAAAAATAAGGAGAACTCGGTAAAGAAAATTTCTTCTACGATGAACTTATTTACTTAAGCTGTACATTCGTATTTATAGTTAAATGGGAAGTATATGTCCATAGAAGGATAGAAAAGATTGTATCGTAAATATAGTTATTCGAAAACGATATAGATAATATAAACGAATGAGGTAATATTTGATTTGGAACTTGAACTTTGATAAGATGACTTGGATAATATTCGGAAGAGATTTAAAGAATTATCATTCCAATTTTTCAAATCACCAATGTATATTATTTAACATTATGGCATTCATCAATATAACAACGATTATAAACAACTGAGTAGAAACCACGAAATTAGAATAATTTATATTATTTTGTCTCAAGTACTGTTCTGAGTTTACTTAAATTTGATATGTATTTCGCTTTTTGAGGGATACATTTGTTAGCGACTGAGGTGAAACCACAAATTTAAGTAGATTCATACTCTTGTACACTTTTCATTGTTCTGGATTCGCTTAATTTCGTAAAAGGAACTGATTGTACAAAATGTGGAAACAAGTAACTGATTTATAGTTAAAATAACATTTTAAAAAACTACCATGATTCGAATTAGAGGACAAATACAAAACAATAATAATTAGAATATCATATGGTTCAGAAAAATCCAGTCTTCTTAGAACTCGGTTTCAAAGGCGATTAAATAACTGGGACTATTGATTTTAGACTAAAGGTAATGCTAAAATGGACGTATCTAGCGGCCAATTAGTGTTTTATACTGAAATAAATTGTCATTGAGACAGACAAATGTTGATAGACACTTGCTTTATGTTACCGCTAATTGTGTTTAACACTTTGCATATATGCTCCAAAGCACATATGGCGTAAGAACAGAGAGGAGGGTTCGTGTCCTCATCTCCGATTATATTCCATAAAGTTGAGATTTAACGGGCAGGTTTTTAAAAAATCACTTGCTCAAACTTTGCATGACAATGAGGTTAAAATTTCGAAATCTTTCTAGATGTTTAGCAAATAAAGGAACTTAAAATTGCTACTCTTTCCCGAAGTCATTGCAACAAAAAGATTCAAACCCAGTTTATGTATCCAAAAAGGAACAGTTACTAATATTGTTTTACCCTGGTGACCTCATTGTTGTGAGATCATTACGTAAGACTCTCACATAAACTTTGATTAAAATTCTAATATCTTAATTCTTACTTATGAGCTTTACTCGACTAGTTTATATTACGTAATTTATCTTCAGTTTCGAAAACTTCTGTTTTCAGAGTATTTCTATATTTAACGTAGAATTAAACGTATTTTTGAACACTATTAATTCTTCTGAAATACTGTCTCTTTATATCATTCTGTCTCTATACATAATAACTCAATGTATTCAAAATGTTTCCGATATAAAGTACATACACTTCTTTTCGTTCGAATGATTAGTGTTTTGGTTTAAGCAGCTGAGGAGAATCGACGAAGTAAATAAATTCATGTTATACTGTTACGATATTTGGTCTTTATTCTAAAAAAACAACTAATAGGAATCCTAGTAGGATTCTAGCTTTCTCCAGAATTCGATTCCCTGAAATTCGAAATAATCAGACGGAGATACAGAATTTCAAACGTTTGATCAAAAACAGTCGGAATAGTTACCAGGCTACATAGATTAATCTTTAAAAAACTCCTTATGAAGTGTGGACATGCTTTTCAAATATTTTTATTGACAACAAAATATCCTTCTCTATTTCTTATCAATTATATTCTGTGTGTGTTTTTGTTAGATAGTCATTAAAATTGTGACATTTTAGTAAATAAATTAAATCTATTAACTAAAAATAATAACTGAACAATATAGTAAAGTATTCCAATACAGAGTTTCACATGACAGATCAAATGAAGTCTATTTATTATATAATATAATGTTATTTACACATTCTTTTGCATTTTATCTCTTCAAACTATATTCTTAGTGAATAGTCTATCTCATTATCATTGTTACATCAGTGTTTTGAACTCGTTTATTACTCTGTTTACTACAAGCATCTCATCATATTAATATGTTATGCCAACTTGAACCAATGCATATCCGTGTCAGGTTCTACATTGAAGATAACTAACTGACTAATTATTATTCACATATCATAATATTTTTGAATAGTTCTTTACTTGTTTACGAGTATTGTCTACTTCGTATAAAATAAAACAGATTTATTTTTCATTATCGATAACGTGATTACTCACAAAGTGAATTTATTCAACGACTCCTCTCTAAATAGACGAGTAATAAGAAATTTCACAGTATCAAATTTTTAACAATAAATGTCACGAAATTCAGTGCCTCATGCTAGATACCAACTTTTAGGCTTTCAGATTACAGTAAGCTATGTGAAACCGTATTCGTTAAGTTGGCTTGCCATTTCGTAATTTGTTTCACACAATTTGGTATGAATAGTCGATTAGTATAACTAGGTGTTATTCACATATACAGTACCTCAAAGTCAAGTTTATGAACAGGTGTTTATTTACAGAGTTACATCAGCATTACAGTTAAAGTAAAACAAAGCTGATAATAACAATTAAAGCTTCTTAATCAAACCATCCAACTCAAAGAACGAAACATCACACAAAATTGATAACCTTGTCGCACTGTAGTAGACGCTACTCACAAGGATGTTTGTAAGTGGTGTATAACGAACGTTTTCTGATTTACCTATTTATGTACCGTATACTTATAAAAACATACAGAGGCTTCAAAAATTCTGCAACTAGATAATATAATTGTTACTTAGACAAAAGTTAACAATTCATTTTTGTGGTTATCAACTGATTACAAGTCTGATTTGAGATCAGACAATAGTCTCCACACAGAAAAAAGACAAATCTTGGAACAAAAACTGTGTGGAAATTAAAAAAGAGTAGTAAAACACGTAACTGATTATGAAGTGTTCTAAAATTTCACGATTTTCATTAAATGATATACCAATCAGTACTGATTAATATTGGCTGATAAACATTTGAAGACCATTAAGCAGTGAATTACTATTTGCTTTATATTTAAGATTTTTCAACAATGCACACCCACAAAATACCACAAGGAATTGAAGTCAAAACTCCACGTGCTACAATAAAAATGAATTTTATGGCGCATACTCTCCTACTTCGATCTGTTATTGTTGATTATTTACCTACAGACTCCTGAATCGTCGATCGATTGAAGTCAGACATTAACACCGTTGGTTGACGGCCAACTCAGTGGTCTAAAGGTTAAACGTTCGCATGTGAGAACGAGAGGTCCTTGGTTCGAGTCCCTTTGTTGTGGGATCGGGATGTGTAATACTGAGGAAACCCGCACTAGGACGAAACACCTGTCTAGTGTTTTCAAATTAGTTAATTAACTACGTTATGTTAAATAGT